TATCTCTTGAAAAAGCGACGTTGCTCTCATTTCCAGCCCACACGAGATCGACACTGGGCAAGCCCCTCTCTCCCCCATCTAATGCATCCCCCCCTCCAACCCTCCCCCCGCCCGTGATTTTTTCGACCCTCTCCTTACTTTTAAGGAGAATAGAGACGCCTCCGTGGACGGATCCTGCCCCTTCTTCGCCTGCTCCTCCAACACGATCTGGAGATCGAAGATGTAGTCGATGACGTGTTGCAAGATCTCCACTTGAGTCATTTTGCTGCCTCGCGGGATGCCCGGGACCAGCTCGCGCAGCTTGGAGTAGCAGTCGTTCATGTCGTACAGGAGGCTCATGGGCTCCTCGAGAGCCGGGCTCTTGTTGTTGCTGCCCCGGGCAATGGCCAGGCTCTGATCCGAGAGGCAACACACCGCTTCGTAGCAGCTCCTCACCGAGCGCACTGGGCTGATGGCTTTCATGGTGGCGACAAAAACAAAAGGGCCCCCCGGAATTAATATACGGGCAATAGATATATATATAGAAGCGAAAAATAGAATAATACAGGAAAACAGAGAGAATCAGCCTCTTGCGCGCTTCGTAGTCTTCGGCAAACACACACACAAAGCCTATAGTCCAACCTCTCAGTCCTCTCGGAGAGCGTACAAAACGAGGCTGTCACCGCTCCAGAAGCTTATATAGGCCCGTGCGCGGGGCCCCGCCCCTTTATGCAAATGAGTCGCCCTGCTCCCTCCTCCTCCTCTCTCTGCTCCCCCCCGTCTCTCCAATGACAGGGAAAACGTTGGAATGGAACGTACGCAAGATGGTTTTAAGTGCAAAACAGGTTTTCCATTGGCTTCGTTTGACACCAAATAGCAGAGGACATCAAAGGCATGAGAAAGCTCCGATTAGAGAGAGGGAGGGGTCGAGGCGATCAATCTGAGCTCCTGCCCCCCTCTTTACCCCCCACATTTCTCTCTTCCATTCAACACGACCTAATTTAACTAATATATCTTCATCTCTTTTCCTTGTCTGTTTTAATTCCGATATATTATTAGTAATTAATTTCCATATTAATATTATTATTGGCGGGGGTGGTGAGAGCAAGGGGCGGAATAGCTTTCGAGCAGAGGGGCTGATTTCTACATACTTTGGTTTTTTTCTCTCTCTCTCGTTTCTCCCAACTTTTAAGCGTTCAGAAGCCATCAATCCTTATCACAGCAGAGATTTCTCCAAGGGTTTTTAAAGATTTTCTTCCAGGGCTGGCGGGGGGGGGGGACCTTGTAAAAGACTTAGCACCGCCTTTTCCTCGCTTTGCTTCTCATACGACCTCCAGACTTTCTGGCGTCAGGAATTATCTTGTGACCAAGTTGAACAACAACAACACACACACACACACACAAAAGTTGCGGGAAAAGCTGGAGTTATGGTAGAGGAAAGCTATTGGGGGTAGTAATGATGGTAGTGAAAACATTTAAGTTGTGGGTGAGGGCGAGCGAGCAAAGCTGACCGGGAGATTTATATTTAAGCTATCTTTGATGAGCAAAAGAAGAAATATGCAGGAAAAAACATAAAATGGCTCGCAGGTTTCTTTGGGGGGGGGGCTACTGGGTTTTTTCTCAGTGGAAAGATAGTATGAATACGGTGAGCTGGAGAATGAGCAAATGAGATACACTTTGGCCCTGCTGAAGTTATTTAATTCAGTGATGGAAACTTCCTTTGGCTTTTAGAAACAGGAGGCTCACTTTTTAAAGTAAAAAACGGGGGGGGCATGATGGAAGAATTCTGCTCATACAACACCAACCAATTCTATTTTCATAGCTTGGAAAAGCAATCTTGGATTGCAATATTGCTGAGATTTGTAGTCCAAAAAAATTTTTAAAAAGTTTTCGAGTCTCTGCTTCTGATGCACTCAACTAACCCAAGCTGTTTTTGGTTTGGGTTTTTTTTTTAATCTAACTCCGGGTAATAGTGAGAGGCACTCCCAAATGATTTTAGGGGCCACATCAGCCCTAGCCGGACACATCCAGTGGTGAAGGATAATGAGATCAACAACACGCCACATTTATATTCGAGAAACAAGATTATAATTCGCAAACGTTTGCACTGAAATTACTCTGTTAGTCTTTAAGGTCGCCAACACCTTTGTTTTTATTGCTTTATTTTGTTTTGTTGAAATAAGCAACCTCATTGAAAAAAGTTGGATAGCCATGGTTACTTATTGTTGATCTAAGAGATGGCAATGGAAGCCATCATTAACCAATACGTAGCCTGCTAGATCTTGTACAGCAGCATTGAAGGGGCTATATTTCAAACCAATGTGCCACTGTAGCTTCAGTTTGATACAAAAATATACTTTTTTGTATTCATGCATATTTAATATGCTTGTTTATTATTGGTTACTCCTCAAATCTACCGCTTACTTTTACAACTTATAACTCCTACCAAGGAATCCCCTACCTCCTGCTCATGTCGACTAAAGAATTCTAAGCATTGTAGTTCAAAAGCAACATTTCAAAACTCTGTTTACAATTTGGTGACTAGGTAGTACACCTTTACGAGAGCTGGTCTCTTTCGCACACAGATTATGACTTCTATGATCTCCAGTCAGCTTGGCTGTGTTGGTTGAGCCTGATGGGAGCTACTCATTTATTAGTTACATTTATATCTTGCTTTTCCTCTAATGACCTCAAGGCTGCTGTATCTCACCCCCATTACATCTTTACCACTCCATGAAGAAGGTCAGTTTCAGAGAAAGGATCCAGTCTAAGGCCAGCTAATGAATTTTATAGCTAAATGGAGACCAGAATCTGGCACTCTAAGTACCCTACAGTGGCTTTTATACAACACTTGGGTGAGGAAAGTTTATTTCAAAAGAGGGCTGGGAAATATGTGGCCCTCCAAGTTGCTGCTCTGGTCAGATCCTGTCATAGTTCACCACTGGCTATGCTGGGTAGGACTTAGTGGGAGCTACACTCCCACTAAGTGGTCCTCCCAATCTAAATTAAAATTCCATTTTGAAACCCTGTTCCCATCCCGCCACAATTTATGTGGTGGGATGGGAAGAATTCAATCCAAGCGCTCTTGGTTGGTGCCTCTTCGCCTCTATTTTGCATTTTTCTTTCTTTCTCTTGGACTTTTACGGAGCCTTGCATGGTCAAAACAATATTATGGTATCCATGTAGTCACTGTCAGTTTCCATGTTTTTCTTCTGTTTACATTTCACGATTAAAAAAAAAAAACATGTTTCACTTTGTGGCTGCTTTGGTGCAGCAAAGAAGAAGAAAAAAACACCTTCCTTAAATGATTCCAGTCGTTGTTACTGGAAAAAAAACTTTTTAAAGAATGTTGAGCACGCAAACTGGTTATTTAAAGGAGTGATTGACTTGGGTAGCCCAACCGTTCATGTGTTTGTTCTTCCTTTCATTTCCTTACTAGACTCTGCCAGTGTTCATTGGTGAGCGCAACCTTATTCCAAATCTAGATTGATGTCAATGTGCCCTCCATTCTTTTACTCTCTGGCATCTTTCCTGTGCTCTTTGTTTGCTTTGTTAACTTTTAAGCCCTCCTTTTAAGTTCTATGGGGGAAAATAAAACATGGGATCTTTTCATCATCCTATTTGTTGGAAGTCCCAATAATTTGAATGGCGCAGCTGACCAACACTATTCCTTCCAAACAAAGCCAGTTTATTTAAAAAAAAAAACCCTCAGTGGATGATGGTTGATCACTCCAACCCCATTCACCTTGAAGTAGTACTAAACGTAGCTATGGCACAGGTATGGCAAGACCTCTGGCTATTTCAAACACGTCCACCTATGTGTGTGCATTTAAAAAACCCAACACTAGGTATATTTGTTCAGAAGTGTGCTCAGTGTGTTCAGTGGGGCTTACTCTCAACTGAATGCATATAGGATTCCCAATTTTTTCCTGCCCAATTCTCGACATGCTTACATTGAGTTCATTTTCAAGTTGCTTTACAAACAGTTGAAGCCATAGAACTCATCCCTACGTATATTTACTCAGTCGCGTGGTATCAAATGGGGTTTACTCTCACGCGCCTCGCCGGATCGCAGCCTGCAGAAAGCGAGTCGGCCCGTGTGTTTGCTGCATTTGTGTTTGAGCATCATCATCAGATGGTGGCCTTAAACGTTGGCTTCATTGTTTTTTTATTTTACAGATGACAGGCTAAGAGGGATATCTCTTCAAGGATAAATTAGCAACAAGGCCACACACTAACGACCCCCCCCAGTCCCTCCCTCTGTGTGTGTGTGTGTGTGCAGGCCACACACTAACGCCCCCTCCCAATCCCTCCCTCTTTGAAGGAACTTTGTGTGTGTGTGTGTGTGTGTGTGTGTGTGTGTGTGTGTGTGTGTGTGTGTGTGTGTGTGTGTGTGTGTTCTGAACTTTCTGTTCCCGCTCCCTTTTCCCCTAGTCAGGCTAACATCCCCCTCTTCTTCTTCTTCTTCTTTTTTTATGAAAGGATGTCATTAAGGCTTTTGTTTGAACTGTTTTTGTTTAAGTACTTTTCTCACAATCCTATTTTTTGTTGCGGAATCTGCTCCCTTTGCCCAGCTGTGTCTCTGTCCCTCCAGCTGTGTTGATCTAACTCGAAGCTCCAGACAGCCTGGCGCCAGCCTTGCGAACGTCATGCATTCACACAGAGATGCGTGGCCAAGGCAACCCTTCCCACCGCCTCCTCGGCACTGAACTGGAACCTCAATGGGCGGCCAATGGGAGGAGGCGTGGGCGGGGCCTGCCCGGGCCCAGGGGGCGGGGCCTCGCCCATGGAAGAAAACCTGCTGATGCAAATTTCAGATGCACGGCCGAGGCTGTTCCGGCTTGTCTCCGCTGCTGGTGGTTATCCGTATTGTCGTTTTTCTTTTTCTTTTAACACCACGATCTGCTGAGGCAATAAATGCAATTTTCTCAGCTTCTTTGCCTTTTCTGGGAATCGAGTCCCTCCTCCTTCGCAGAGTCAGATATAGTGTAACAGCAGTTAAAAATTAAATTCAGAACGTGTGAATACCCTTATTGGGTATTGCTATTAACTCCAGATTCCCGCCTTTCCAGAGATAACGATTTTCACACCCAACCTTTTATGGCTATTTTGTCCTGAAGTCATCCTTCTTGAATCTGCACACCTGTATGTTCTACCTGGGCATACACCAAAATAATAGCCTGTGTTTGTCCCGGTCCTTGCTTGTTTAGCCCTTTTCTTCTCCCAAAGGCCTTCAATGTTTTGCTCTGCTTGCAACTTTGTATTTTATTTTCCCATCTTGCTAGCCAAGTTTGCTTCATTGCCTTTCCTAACCATTGGAACTTATTTTTAAAACTTTTTTCCTAAGTTTTTTTTTAAAAAAAAAACAGAATGCTCCATAGATGTTGCTGTTTTAAAATAATTAGGAGAAAGGCAGCCAGCTGGGCCTTTTACTCCAAACCAAGGCCCAAAGTATTTAAAAGCAATTTACTATGTTGGTAGGGTATGAAAGCATTTTGAGATAATGGGAATATTCCAAATGTGGCATTGGTTTTTCCTCTCTCCCGCCTTTCAGAGTGCGATTTTGGAAAGAGAGGTTTGGAGTGGAAAGTGGAAGACAATATGACAAGGCAACGAAGTGGGCGTACAGATCTTCCACGGATGCTGATCATATGGGCTAAATTTCAAAATCTTGGAAAAG